TGTGTGTTAATTTTTACACGGGTTTATCTTTCCTGGGCTGAGGTGTGACACTGCAGAGCAATGGAAGGGTTAATGCATCCACAACCTGAAGCATCCTGAGGCCCCGAGACGTGGTCCGTGCTTGGCATTTAAGAGGAAGGAGATACTGTCAACCTGCCGATGTGCGCAGGGGATGAGCTAAAGGGTTACCCCTACTTCTCCCCGGACGGCGGGTCCCAAGGCCCCGAACTCAGTGCCGTTTGCTGGGAGCTCCGAGCGCCCCGTGTGTGTCGTGTGTTCCTACCAGCACCCGTTCTTGGTCGGGGAACAGGGAGCAGGCGTGCAGTCTGCTCCTGGTCCCGCGGCGGAGCCTAGAGCTCTCAGTGTGAGGTTAGACTTGTGCACATCGCCAGGCGGATCTGCTAACCTGGGGCCATCTTTGTAGCAATGAACGTGTGATGGCTAGTACCAGGTCTCATGTAACAGGTGTGTTTCATTACAGGGCAAGGCCTGCATGCTGAACGCTGCCCATGGCTTTAGTTAGGAGTTCAGACTAAATCGGGTTCCCAACCTGGGGAGCGACATTAAAATCGGACCCTAAAGAACAGAGGGTGCGAACGAAAGCGTGCCAGGTGGGCGGCCAGGTGTGTTTCATTACAGGGCAAGGCCAGCATGCTGAACGCACTGCCCATGGCTTTAGTTAGGAGTTCAAACTAAATCGGGCTCCCAACCTGGGGAGCGACATTAAAATCGGACCCTAAAGAACAGAGGGTGCGAACGAAAGCGTGCCAGGTGGGCGGGGGAGGCGGTCAGGTGCCAGGGCTGCCAGGTGAAGCATCAAGAATTGAAGAGTAGCAAATACTCCTCTTTGGTTTACAATGTAGTTTTCTTCTTTTTTAAAAATCGATTTCAGAGAGGGAGAGACAGATAGAGACATCAATGATGAGAAATCATTGATTGGCTGCCTCCTGCACCCCCCCCCCCACTGGAATTGAACCCCAAACCCGGGCCTGTGCCCTCCTGGTTCAGAGGTTGATGCTCGACCACTGAGCACACGGGCTGGCAGGGACTAGGAACAGTGTGCCCTCCTGGTTCAGAGGTTGATGCTCAACCACTGAGCACACGGGCTGGCAGGGACTAGGAACAGAGAAGAGGCACTGGGTCGACGGCAGAAGCCCTGTCGGGTGCAGCAGCCTGGTGCTTGGACTTCAGCGGGGGGCTGGGCGGCAGGCATTCTGACCAGGGAAACGGACTGGCCACGGGAGCTCAGTTGGGCTTCGGAGTGGAGGCTGGCAGAGGACCCGCGTGGGGACGGAGGGGTGTGGACAGACCTGAGGCCAGGTGTGTTCCACCGAAGCCCCTGGCACCGGGACCCGAGGGGTGAAGAGGAGCCCCAGGAAGGACTTGGGGAGCAGGAATTGATGCAGCTGTTAGGGGGAATCACTCGCAGAGGCGGGAACGGAGGGGCCTGGTGATCTGTCTGGAGACAGGCACATGGGAGGCCCAGACAGGCTGTGCCTCCTGCACACGGGGCCGCCTTTCCGTGGTTCAATCCTTTAGCTGGATGCTGACAAGTACGAGAACGACCCAGAGCTGGAGAAGATCCGGAAGGAGCGACACTACTCCTGGATGGACATCGTCACCATCAGCAGAGAGAAGCTGCCCGACTACGAGGAGAAGGTCAAGAGCGCCGGGCGGTTTGGAGAGGGAGTCGTTAGACTCGCTCCCAGTTCAGTTTTTAAATTTTTATTTCTTTAGTTTTTAAAATTTTTAGACTTTTTCTTTTACTGTTTCCATTTGGTTTTTATATCAGAGTAATGCATATTTGAATTTTTTATTAATAAGATATTAGGGGGAAGAGGAAAGTAGATTTGAAATAGAAATTCTTTAAGAAGGTGACTACCTTCAACACATTTTCATGTGGCTTCTGACCTTCCAGTGTGAGCATGACTGTGCCTGTAATCATGTAATTGCACGTGTGATCCTGTGACGTGACTGGCATGACTGCATGTGATCATGTGACTGTATGATCGTGTGACTGCCGTGTGTGGCTGGTTATGAGCAGGAGCCAGGGTATCTGGGAGTGTCGGCTCTGCACATGCAGGCTATCGTGGGGCAGCGACCTCGCCTCTGCCACATGTCCTGTCTGTCAGTGGGGACGCAGAGAGCACCAGGCGCGCTGCACACGGAACGGTTGGAGCTCTGCCTGGCACGGGTGGTCCTGTCGGTGTGAACCCTTTAGGTGCTGGCTGGCCGGAAGGACTCTAACACCCCAGCTCCCCCTATACTTGCTGTAATGCCCCGACTTTCCTGGGAGGGTTCTGCCCACTTAGCTCTGTCACTGAGGCTGGTCTGCAGGCGACTCACCGTGTCCCTCGTGGCCTAGATCAAAATGTTCTACACGGAGCACCTGCACCTGGACGAGGAGATCCGCTATGTCTTGGACGGCAGCGGGTACTTCGACGTGAGGGACGCGGAGGACAGGTGGATCCGCATCGCCGTGGAGAAGGGAGACATGATCACCCTCCCCGCGGGGATCTATCACCGCTTCACGCTGGACGAGCAGGTGGGACCGTGTGGCTCGGAGGCGGGAGGGTAGGATGTGACTGACAGACTGAGACTCGGGAGTTAAAGGCCTGGACGGCCGGGCTCACCAGGGCTGTGTGCTGTTCCCTAGAACTATGTGAAGGCCATGCGGCTGTTCGTGGGAGAACCGGTGTGGACAGCGCACAACCGGCCAGCGGACCACTTGGAGGCGCGGGGGCGGTACATGGCGTTCTTGGCGCAGAGGGCATAGGGTGCCCTGGGGCCAGCACACCCCTGGCCCGGACGGTCCTGGCGTGACAGCGGCAGGAAACCTACCGTGTCTTCCTCACTTTTCTGTCCCTCTGGGAAGTTGTCTGATCAGAGTCTGTTTTAGTGGAAGGAGCCATAGCCTGATCTGATTTTTACGTAGAAGCCCCTGTGGGCAGCCTCGTCTCCACTCCCATGGCCCTGAGCCGGCACCCGCGCTGCACTTGAGCCGAGTGTGCCGTGTCCCTGCCGCGCTGCCCCGCTGGGACCTGATGCGAGACTTGATGCAGATTGCCGTCAAGGCCACGCCGCCTGTGTGCAGGTGTAAGCAGGCGACAGGACTCTTCTCCCACCGCCGGGGGCGTGGGGGGCGGCCCTCATGTTAGGGGGACTCATGCCACTTTCTTGTTTAAAACAAAGTAGCTGCCTTGCCCTGGCCAGTAGCTCAGCTGGTTAGAGCACCGTCCCAATGCACCAAGGCTGTGGGTGCAGACAAGACTCCGCCAACGAGCTCATAAATAAGTGGACCAGCCAATGGGTGTCTCTCTCAATAAACTTTAGAAATAAGTAAGCAGCTGTCTCCTTTCATGCTTGGGCTGGAAAGCGCCGATGGCGAGAAGATGGGTCCCTCTGGAGCTGGGAGGGGGTGTCTCCCTGCAGTTACAGATGCCCCAACGCCCAGGCGCATGGGAACAGTTTATAGTCCATCTTCCCACTCTCCTCTGAGGA